CGACGCCTTCCTCATTAAGTTAATAGGCATACCGCACACACGCACACTCGCACACTCGCACACTCGCACACTCGCGCACTCGCGCACTCGCGCACTCGCACCCACACACACACACCCACACACACACACACACACACACACACACACACACACACACACACACACACACACACTCACACACACACACACACACACACACACACACACACACTCTCACACACTCACACACTCAACCGAAGACCCTCAACCTCATGAACAACTTACTGTGCAGTATGCCTATTAACTTAATGAGGAAGGCGTGGAACAGTGTTTATCTACAACTTACACGTCAGGTGTTTGAAAAAATTTTTGAGTTTGAATAATGTAATAAATAATACAATAATAACGCACACACTCAACATAGCCCCGCACACACACACACACGCACTCGCGCACTCGCGCACTCGCGCACTCACACACACACACACACACACTCACTCACTCACACACACACACACACACACACACACACTCACACACACACACACACTCACACACTCACACACTCACACACTCTCACACAGACACAGACACACACACACACACACACACACACACAGACACACACACACACACACATAGACAACCACAAATTACACCCAAACTCACCTTTTCCGGCCCGGGAAGCGAACCTGGGACCCTACGTGGCAGTCCGGCATGGTAACCGTTCGGCCACGGGGGCAGTTAAAAATGAAAAGAAATTTAAGAATCGAAGTTTCCAATAGTTGACTATTCCTTCGGTCAAAAAAATTATATATTTATGAGGTGTAAAGTGACCTGAATCCATGCCTGAAAGGAGATCCGTGCCCAGCCGCGAGACATATAAATGGATTGATGATTATATATAAAGTAAGCTGTCGTTTTTGATGAAGAAATTAGCGCTATTCGTATTTTCAGCTGTTTTATCATATACATGCTTGTGATTCACTGCAACGTCGCTTTTACTTGCACATGATGACAAGGACGGAGGTAAGTTTCGATTAAAGTATGTCATGTAATGAAATCAAATAAAAACAAAAAGATACTAAATCAACAAAATATGTGAACCTTCAAATTAAATGTTGACCTTATGTTGACGTTATGTCTCATTTAAAGATCGTACTGTCCGAGAAATGTACCTTTCGGAGAGTTGGTTCCACTTTTGCTTCCACTGGTGGGTCTAGTAGGATTTTGATAGTACTGATGTCCCACGACATAATATGGGTGGAACTATTAGGATTTGTGAATACTATACTGAAGTATACGAAGTTCATGCCAAAATTTAGGGCTGATGTGCTTCCTAACTAGACACAAATTCGACATTTGATTTTAAAGTTCCAGCGTTACTTATTTTACACTGAGTTCTAGTACTAGTCATTTGTCCAATTTTATTCCAGTTTGGTCCATGTTCTTTCTTTTAATAAGTCGGGATAGCAATGTGGCCTTATTAATGTCTTATGTATTAGTCTATCTATATGTTAAATTGACAAGTACATTTTGTTAAAATCGTTTATCTGGACGTATGTTACGCCATGACACTTTCTGTACAGTGGTGGTCGTATAATTAGAAACACTACAAACGGTCCTTGACATTATCTAAGAAACGTCACCGCAATCGTTTTTATTTTGAAATTAAACAATAAATAGGACAGCAATAGGTTCAACGATTTATTATTTATTAGAAAAACAATATAAATCCCACTACTCAAGTGCAGTTTCAATATTACATTACGCACAAACACTTAAATAAGTTTTAAGGTATAATAAGTTTTAAGGTATAAGGTATAAACAATAATGAACAACTAATTAGAAACAACAACAAAAAAGTGTAAAAAAGAACATTTTTTTAAATATTAGTAATTAGTATTTTTATTTACGAAATAGCTACTATCCACAGCCTACCAATATTTATAATTAATATTTAGTGGCGTATCCCTTATTTTCAATAGCAGCTCTGCAACGACGTGACAGTGATTCAATCAACGTCATACATTTTTCAACAAATGCATCATATAATTCGTTTTGACTGGTGTTACGTTTGTTTGAGACTTTCTTCTTAACAATATACCACAGATTTTCTATCGGGTTTAAATCCGGACTATTTGCTGGCCAGTCTAAAACGGATATACGCTGTTCGCTAAGGAAACATTTGACGATATTGGCCGTGTGTTTAGGATCATTGTCATGCTGAAAGATCCAGGTTACAGGCAAAGGTTCGTCCGAGTAGGGAATCATTGCGTCCTCTAAGATATTTTTGTACTGCCATTGATCCATTGTACCTTCAATCTTCCGAACGGGACCAACTCCGCATTCGGAAAAACACCCCCAAACTTTAATGTTTCCGCCACCGTGCTTGACTATGCTCCTTGTGTATTTATAATTAAAAGCACTGTTTACAGGACGTCTAACATAGCGCTTTCCATCTGAATTTACCATTTTTATTTTCGTTTCATCTGAAAATAAAACTTTTTTCCAGTCTCGTACCGTCCAATTAACATATTTTTTTGCGAATAATAATCGCTTCTCTCGATGTTGCTTGGTAAGAAGCGGTACCTTTCGAGAGGTTCTTCCAAACAATTTAGCTTCCACTAATCTTCGGCGTATCAGTCTTGATGAGACGTTTCTGGGGTCATCAGGCGAAAAAACCTCATTTTTAATTGGTTTGAGCCTTTAAATGGATCTTTTTTAGCAATACGATTAGCTTATCTTCTCTGGGAGAGGTGTTTCTTGGCCGAGCCTTTCTAAGAACATTTTCAACAGTTCCATGTGTTTTATAGTGATCAATTTCATTAAAAACTTTCTTCACAGAACAATTTAAATGCTCAGCTATTCTTCTGTACGTCCACTTTTGATCTAAATGTAAATTAACAATTATTTGCCTAGTTGACGCGTCACAACTTTTATTTTTGCCCATTTTGAAAAAAATTAAATTCAGATCAAATTTTGAATTGCCGCCAAATTAATAGAAAACATCAAGAAATAAACGTTACTCTTCAATTTCAAAAAAAGAACGAGCTATGGATGCTTTTTTCAAATGTTTCTAATTAGACGTCCAAGCGGCCAGGAACAGAAATATACTCGTACATTGTGTAAGACTCATTTTATAATTAAAAGTAAATGTTTTATTTTTTATGCATTTAATGATTTTTTATTTGAGTGGCTATATTATTGCATGATTATTTATTATTGAATTTATATATTTTTCACGAACATTTGTACGTTGAAGTTAAACTTTTTTCAATCATAAGAAGTGTTTCTAATTAAACGACCACCACTGTATACGTGAGCCTATCAACCTATCCTTCTTGTTCAAGAGTGGTTTGGGTTGTTGGGTGTGAAAGTCATGACCCACCTTTTGATTTCTTTGTCGACGACTAAAATAGTCATTGGTTGTCCTTAACATTACCAACAACTTCCAAGGTAATGGGAAAGCCGTACAGCTGGAGTGCACGTGATGTGTCGCGGTTGGGTTTGCTGTTAGGAGAACTGGAGGGGTCAGAGTTTGCCTCCATCAATCCTGAGGCCGTATTCGGTATCACTGCTCAAGTTAGTACCCTTTGCAATCTTATAATCGGATACTAGAGTCTATGTACTATTATGTACTTAAGTAGGTACAACAACGTTTTTGTGGACTTTATGCGAGCAAACCGAAATAGCAAATTTATTTTCGTGCTCAAGTAAAGTTTTATGATTTTTTAGGTAATGATGACTATACCAGTAGAGGTTCTCCAGTTCGTGACGGAAACTCAGCTGAAGTATTTAGACGTGAAACCGCTTAACATTTTAGCGAGAAAGATTAAGGCCTACCAGGACAAGCTTAAGTTATTCGAACAAAATGACGATGACGACGACGAGGCTAACTCGTCAGAACGATGCCATTTCGATTCTATGTTTTTAGTTTTATGTTTAGGGCATTTATTGCTAGTATAATTTTTATTGTTTTTGTATCCACAAAAACGATCAATTATGCTTAAGCATTAGGAATTTTTAACTTTAATATAAAAATATAATCTTAATATAAATAAATTAATACAAAATAATTATTATAATAAAAAAAAGTATTTTTTATTAATAATTATATTGCTTTATGTTTTGAATTGATGGTAAATGAAAAGTATAGCGACCGTCGCTGTTTACCCTTGCTTCCAACTGAAAGTAAACATAATAGTTTAGTAAATAACATATTTTTTAAATTGAAAATGTCTACAAATACACAGCGAGTCGTACCATGGTACTACACCAGTCTGTTTGCGCACTCATTTCGCAAACATCTCGAGTTGGTTTATTATTTCGTTGAAATGATAATGTTTCAGTTTTATTTTCTGATCGAGATGTTGAGGTTTGTGATACATTCATTTTCTTGCCACCACACTCCGAACATAACTCAAATTGACATTTAGACATGCAATTGACTATAAATTCTGTTTGCGATGCCCCCGGTATTGTATTCGCACGAGATTCTTGGTGTTCCGTCTTCATAAAAACTACAGAGTCTTTAACAGAACTGTTAATGTTTACGTTGGGTTGTTGGAACTCCGTAGATGTTTTAGTTGGTTTAGTTGTCTTCACGCCATCATTATTCTCACATTTACAACTGCAAAAACAAATTTGGTTAACAAAAACAATAATTATTTTATAAAAAATATAACTTATAAGTTGAAACTTAACTACCATTCTCTTCCAGCACGGGTTAACACAGGCAATAACACAAAACATGTTCTGACTTCTGGACACAAAGCTTTTGGGTCAGGGCGAAAGGAATCGTCAACGCAGGCACATTGAACATAGACTAAATTTTGATCATCCTGGCAGTACAAACGTGGAAGATAATCATTTAAAAGTGATTGTACCGATTTACTTTGCGTAACTGTTCCATTATAGTCGACTCCTTCGTCAGTAAGTGATCGAGAATTATAAGTATCCACGTTTGGTTTCACCTGTGTTGCAACTTCTGGATTTTTTATTTCAATGTTTACGTTCAAATTAAGAACGTCGCTTTTGTTCGTTGAAGCGACAAATTGGCCGTCTTTGTGGTGCTCATTTAAATTTATGGTTTGTGGTGCCCCATCTGGAAGTTGACGGGATGGTAATGATGTATTTTGGTAAGTAAAGTTGGTCAACCATACTTTCGTGTTAATTGGACTGAAATTACCAGCAACAGTGGGTGGCCCGACACTGCTAAACATCTTTGTAAAGTTCGTCTTTTGAGTGGCAATTTCGGCTGTCGCTTCTGGTGCTACATTAATTGTACCATTTGTCTCGTCAATTGAGTTCGGATTCTGAAAGGACAGTCCCATTTTAAGTATATCAAGAGAAGGACCGATTGCGTCTGTGGATTTTCCTTTTATTTCCACAGCGGCCGCTTGATTTACAGAGTTAGCGTCCACAAATGAGGAGATGATATCACTCTCCGTATTTTTATAAAAATTTGAAATAATTATATCATCTGTATCTTCTGCGATAGGATTAAGAAGTTTGTGATCTTCTAATTGTTGTCTTTGAGGGATATTATTTGCACTTGTTTTTATAGACGAAGTATATCCTGTCAATACGTTGGTACCAAATACTTCCTTCCGTATTTCAGGTACCATATTTGTCACAGGCGCTTGGCCCACGGTTTTATTTTTTTCCATGGTAACCATTTTGTTAACTATCCTTTTTGGAATTTTAGAATACTTGTTAGCCATTTGTCTTCTTTTTATAGGAGTCGTTTTGGCTGACACTGACGGAGACGTGAGAGGACAGTTAGAATTAATTTTTTTGAGGATTGAAGAGTGTTCTGGTTGGCTTACTTGACCAGTAAGAGGTTTATATTTTACGATTTGTTTAGAGTTTAATCCATTTTTTATAGATGGTCGACGAGCTGTTGTCTTGTCCTAAAAATACAGTGGTATTAACATCGTGTTTTTTTATTTAATTAGTACAGGCATGCACAGTAATATTGAACACATTTATACCGCGGTAGCGTCCACGGCGATGTGTGGTGGCTTAAAACTTTTCAAAGCTTCAGTCTTTACTGCTCCATTTGCAACAGTAGTTTCATCTGTATTACAAAAACAATTTGAGATAAGAAATATATGGGCTAATTATAACATTAAGATTAAATAATTTGCTAAAATTAACCAGATTTATGATAAGTACGCACTTACACTTACAACCTTACAATTACAAGTATAGATCGCTAACGAATTTGTCTCACACAACGTAATATTAAGTAGTTCATACTTCAAAGTAGGTAACGAACCTGCTCGGTTATTTAACTTCCTCATCTGACTTTTTTCCCAGGATCTAATAAACACAAAAAAATATACATAGGCATCAAAACCGAACATAATTATAAGTTACCTAAGAAATCTGAAACATAAAAGTATAGTCTCCGTGAAGTATATATAGAATATATTTTTTTTATATAATAACAAATGACGGGACGAACAAGTCGAGGGCCTGGTGGTAAGCGACACACCTGTTCAGAACAGTTGCAGTGCCTCTCATAGCTTTAAACCGTAAAGACCGGAGAGGCACTGCCACTGCACTGTGATGAGTTGACAACTTATGTCACCCTGAGACATTAGTTAACAAGTCCCATGTGCCCGTAATTTCACCAGCACCGCTACCGCTACAAAGTCTGCAGACTGGGATGGACTGCGTGAGTTCTACGCATCGTACCGTGGAGACAGCCCTTTTTCGCTTCGGGTGATCCTGACACCTGTCAGGATCACCCGATGTGATCAACCACGGTCGCTGAGACGATTCTGGCGGGTATGGAATATAGTAGCTACCGGTGTCAAAAAGCGTCCGTGGTTTAATCGACCTTGTAGAGATACTAGAGTTGCAAAGCAATCTGCTTTTGAGGCTTAGACTACGGCGCACAGTGGGCCCAAATTGATAATACTTGGACATAGGAATAACTTGAATTTTGCTCGAACGATCGTTCGTTTGCAGGATCTCGAGGCAGCATTTAGTTTCAGCTTCGCGTCGGGAAGCTTTGGGTCCCAATTCTTGAGCGCCGCGTAGTGGGCCCAAATTGATAATTCTTGGACATAGGTATAACTTGTGGAGTCTTGAGCAAATTTTTTTTATGTGTTAGATATTAACATTCCTAACAACTTTTATTACTATATAATTTCTTGAAAAGTTGACAGTTTCCGACTAAAAAATAATGAATTTTTTTGTATGGATACATTTTACATTTTATCTCAAAATATACGAAAATGTAATGTGTGTGGGTTACTTGCAGTATAGTTCCAATCATTTTCTATGTCGAAAAAAATAATCCGTCTGCATGTACCTACCTACTTAAACAAAAAAAAAACTAAAAAAATTTGTAGTTTTTTTTTTGTTTGGAGAAATAAACATTTTATTTTTATCTCGAAATGTAGAAAAACGTAATGTGTGTGGTTTATTTACAGTACAGGTTATAAATCCAGAGGGATTATTTTTTTCTTGATAGAGAATGATTGGACCTGCAGATGCAGGTACTTGCAGTTTTACGAGTAAAAAGGTGGCAAATTTTTAGATTTGTTATTTATTTTTTAACACAATATACTAGTTTCTACTTAACTTTCATGTTATTGTTATAACACTCTCTAAATTACACTAAAATGAATTTCTCTTCAGTCGAAGCTCATGTATTTTGTTAAAAAAAGTACATAAAAAATTTGACAATTTTGTTTTGCCTTTGCCGCACCTTTACTTACAAAGCCGCAAGTACATGCAAATGGACTATTTTTTTCTACATAAAAAATGATTGCAACTATATACTGTAAGTAACCCTTGAACACACGTTACATTTTTGTATGTTTTGAGATAAAAATAAAATGTATAAGTATTTCTCCATACAAAAAATATTAGTTTTTTTTCTTCGAAACTATCAACTTTTCAACAAATTATACAAGAATAAAAGTTGTTACGAATGTTATTATCTATTACTTCAAAATTAATAACGCTCACAATCAACATAGCCCCGCACTAGGGAAACCCTGTGTCGCGGGTGCCATGGACACACACATAGACAACCACAAATTACACCCAAACTCATGAGAGAAATAAGTGTAGGCCATACAAATATTTCTCCCGGCCCGGGAATCGAACCTGGGACCTCTGCGTGGCAGTCCGGCATGGTAACCGTTCGGCCACGGAGGCAGTTGTTAGCTAGATATTCCACAAGTTACACCTATGTCCAAGAATTATCAATTTGGGCCCACTGTGTGGCTCTCAAGAATAGGGATCCAAAGCTTCCCGGCGCGAAGCGGAAACTAAATGCTGCCTCGAGATCCTGCAAACGAACGATCGTTCGAGCAAAATTCGATTTTGTCGGCAGAATTGGGGAGCGACTTGCAAACCACCCCTCCGGGAGTCGTGCTTTCTGGTCGCTCGCCAAAGCTGCCGAGGGTAAGTTTTGTCAGTCGACCTTGCTACCACTTCGTAAACCTGACGGTGATCTAGCCTATAGCGCTAAAGAGAAAGCCGACTCACTGGGTACTCTCTTTGCTTCGAACTCGACTATGGACGATGGTGGAGTTGCGCCACCTACCACCCTTTGGTGCGGTACCTTCATGCCAGAAATCGTTAAAACGCAACAGCGTGTTCGGCACGAGTTGCTTTCGCTCAATATTCATAAGGCAAGTGGCCCAGACGGTATACCGGCAGTGGTGCTTAAAGTGCGTGCTCCGGAGCTGTGTCCCGTAATAACACGCCTCTATGCGCTCTCCTACTCGCTATCAAAAGTCCCGATCTCGTGGACGACTGCCTACGTACATACAGTGCCCAAAAAACGTGACATCAGAGCCGTCAAATTACAGGCCTATAGCCATAACCTCCCTTCTCTCCAAGGTGATGGAGCGTGTAATTAACGCCTATCTCCTTAGATACCTAGAAGTTCATGACCTAATCAGCGACCGTCAATATGGCTTCTGCCATTGTCACTCTACTGATGACCTTTTAGTGTATCTCGCTCACCGATGGGTTTCTGCCATTGAGAGTCAAGGTGAGGCTTTGGCTGCCAGCCTAGATAAGGCTTTTGACCGGGTCTGGCACCGAAGTCTTCTTTCGAAGTTATTATCATATGGGCTTCCTGAGGAGCTATGCAAATGGGTTGACAGCTTTCTGTCCAGCAGAAGCATAAGAGTCGTCGTCGAAGGTAGTTGCTCTGACGGTTTGGACATTAATGCTGGTGTCCTGCAAGGTTCTGTGCTGTCCCCAACTCTGTTTTTGCTGCACATCAATGATCGCTCGCCACCGTCAGGGAGTCCATCATCACACTCTGGAACCGACTCGATCTCGTACTGTACGGTTTCAGAGGAACTTCCTCCTACGTACAATTAGGTTGTGGAATGAACTCCCTGTCGGGGTTTTTCCGTAGGAATACAGCATGGAGTCCTTCAAAAAGGGTTTGAGAAGGATCTTAAAGAGTCGGCAACGCGCTCGTGACGCTCCTGGTGCTCGTAACCGCTTTCCATCAGGCGGACCGTATGCTTGTTTGCTGCGTACATAATATATATGTAAAAAAATTTGGTGCCAATATCTCGAACTCGAACGTTACCGAAATGCAAATGCGTTTCTTTATGACAAACATCCTAAAGTCCCAAAGCTGAGCACGGCTTTCTTCTATAGGGGCACAGTTTGAATATTTAACATTGACTTACCTGCTCGCTTTAATAAGGTAGTGGTTGTATCCTGAATCTATATACGGATCTGGCGGGGTAACCGCTACATAGGCTCTCCCACTAGATATTTCCGTTGGATCGAGGATTTTAACACCATCAATCGTGTACAGTTCTATGACCGAGTGCCTTAAATAGTAAATTAGCAATATCTTTTATTGAACGCGTTGAAATAAATATTTGACTATGGCTGCTTTTAATATAATTCGTAATTAAATTGTATATAAATAGAGTACATACACTAATATTTACTTCTATTTCTTTATTTATTATTAATGTTAGAATTTGCTTTAGACATACTACATTAAATATACCTAAAACAAGTTTTTAAAATAAACATGACTTTACAATCAATATCCGTATTATTATTTTCATTAATATATTTTTATATAAATAATCATTTTTATTATTTTCTTTATAAATAATAAGCAAGAGGTGGAAAAACTTATGATACAAACTGTTGATTTGTCTCTAAATATTTGTATACAGCATATTAAAATAAAATAATGATCTAATTATCCGAATATAATGTATAGGTACTTACAATGAACCATATAGAGACCGCGCTAAGAAATTAAGCGTAGAGTCCCACAAATGCAGATCATCATTACATAGATGATACTTTCGTGGAGGGGTATACTCCTGTCCATTGCTGAACACGAATATGTCCAGTCCTTCACTGTTTGTCTCATTATCAGTAATTGTTTCCATTTAATACGACTTTCAGAAAGATTTAAAAGTCTTTACTGAAGGCTCAAACACGTCAACAGTAACATAGAATACAGTGCCAATCAGATGCATTTTCCAGAAAACTAAATTTGCAAGTATTTTAACAGAATGTAGGAACAACTTGCATATTTTACAAAGACAGATGGCAAGAATAAATTTTGATTAGTTGTACTGGTCTTTCGATTCCCAATATTTAAATTTGCCTTCACAATAAAGTGCAAGGAAATAAAAATCACAAAATAAACAAAAGTCACCAAAATCCGCCATCTGATTGTCAAACTTTGACAATCTTTTGAAGGATATTCGTGGTCATTATAGGTTATAAAATATTGCTATGTGTAAAAAAATATTGTAGAAATCGCGACAAACTTCCGAAATAGGCGAGTGTCAACCGGACGTGTTTTTTTATTTTCTTTCTCTTTTTAACCGACTTTAAAAAGGAGGAGGTTCTCAAATCCATTGTATTTTTTGTATGCATGTTACGTGATAACTAGGCATTTGTGAACCGATTTTGATTAGAAAGAGGGTACGTCCGTAGTGTCAGTTTCCGGTAATCGATTCCAATAAAATTTGGATAATTGATGTAATGCCACGAACTTTTGGGGTCGGTTTTTTTAGTACTCTGTACTGAGATTATCCTTGATGCAATCTAATACCTCTAAGTTAAAACCTTTAGTTGTTATTATTTTAGAGGATCAGAAAAGTTGTTATTGTATTTATTGTAATCTTTGGTAATTTGTATAGTAATTTTTAGTTTGTACTTTCCACTTTGGGTAAGTTTTTATTTGTTTAAGATGTGTGATGAGCCGCTGGAGGAATAGTGCCTTCTGTCGGTGTCTATATTTAGTATAGAAATGTATCCGCATAAGGCGAGTGCTGTACATACAGAAGATACTATATTGTACATACAGAGAGTGAGCGTAAAATAGGAAACGCATAATAACATCCCGTAGATATTCTGAAAATAAAAGGGATATATTCAGGGTAACTTCTTTGAAAATCTCAAATCTCATGATGAAACCCATTACAGAGTATAATGCGAATTAACTTTGCCGATGTTGTTTCGTCTCTGTCAGGATAAGTTAACAAATATCAATCACTGTTGCTACTAAATCTTCTACTCAAATTCATGCCACTCAGCCAGTTTCAGAATATAAGAAAATATGAGCGCACTGACATTAGTCTTTATGTGATTCATGTGGTGTGACCATCCTCTAAGGGTGTGACCTTAGACAAAACGTATTGGACGAACCGAAACCATAGATTTAGTATATGTGTACCTATACACTAAATCTATGGACGAAACAGACTGGTTCTAGCGTTTACTCGTATCGATGATGCTAAATACATATATTATAGATAAACCTTGTATGTAGACTTATAAATTAAATTAAAAACACTCACTCCAACATTAACTGTGCGTGTTGTACGAAGAGTCCCTGCTAGCTGGTCAGGTGAGGAAATATTGGACAATGTTTCTGAGCCTTATGGATGCGAAAAAATAATCAAAGTAAGGCGTATCAGATATAAAAAAATTGAAATGGTAATGCTGTTTTTTTTAGGTACCAAGTGACAATCAGATCTGAAGTCGAAAAGATCTCAGGGGCCACCGCGACCATCATCCTGAGACATAAGTTGACAAGTCCCATATACTTGTATTGTCATCAGCACCCTTAGGTCGCATTTATTCGACACAAATTTCATCGCGCTCACCCTAGGCGGCCGCCGCGTGGTCGAAGAGCGGAGTCCGCGTTGCCGCCGCGCACCGACCGCGTGCGTTTAACTGTCATGGCAAAATATGCTCTATTTGTTTAGCATTTACGTTTTAATTTAAATGAGCTTCCTGGGCACCGGTAATTTTATTGAGAGGAATTTAAATGTTGTTGCATAATAAATAGAATTCAGATTCGCCATTAATGTACATGAAGGTGTGGTAACTGGGCGGTCGCCACGCGGCGGCCGCGCGAAAACTTTCTTCTCGTGTAATTGGGCGCTTACTCTTCAAAACCGGAACGTAAGAACAATGGTCACATTACTGCTTGGCAGCGGAAATAGAGATGAAATCGTTCCCAAGGAGCTCTACTGCTACATAGTGTTGAATTAATAGTGAAATTACTGAAACTATTGTTTTAACTTTTGATGTACAGACTCTACAAAAAAAATCTACACTAATCTATACAGCACTAGCCGTAAGTATATAATATATAGTATATAATACAATGTTTTCTATATTGTAGATTTCAAGCCAATGCAGATCTATACCACGATGTTACAAATGTGGAAATAATATATGCGGTTACCAGTATATATGCCCGGTGGTAGAGGATGTTGCTTCTTGTTGCTTATGTTCAGGTTACCATTTTGCAACTACTGAGGCCAGCCCAGACTTTTCTAGACAAAAAGAAACAAATACCTACGTGGGTTAAAATTGTGTATCGTAGTTTGTAAACTCTAAATCACATCCACTAATAACCAATTTGTTTGCAAATGTGTCAGGTGACAGTAATATACCAATTACAAAGGTTTCTCCTTCAATTCCGTATACTTCTTACAAAAGAAGAGTTTTCTTGAGATCAACTAGTCTTGGAGAATTTATAATTTAACTCCGCCTTCTCCTTATCATCAACGGGGGATTAGACGTAGGCTTTGATTCCAACCCTATGTTGTGGATATTCCAACGATTCGCACGAAGCGTTACGCTTCCACATTTATATGACGAACGGCTATAGAATGGAATTCTCTGCCTGCAGATTTATTCCCTAAACGTTGTGACTTGGACCTTTTCAAGGAGAGAGTGAATAGGCATTATTTAGGTGTGCATGCTCCATCGTAGACTTCGTCACTTTCCACCAGGTGAGATGGAGGTCAAATGCGCACTTATAATATTTATAAAAAAAATGGTGATTATGACCTAGTCGCTCATGTTCAGACTTTTTAATGAGTATAATATGAACATGGTTTATTCTCTTTCTAATGATTCTGCATATAAAACATCTGACAATGACCAACCTTAGTAACCTTGTGAAAGTGCTCGTCCAAGGAATTACTGCCACCTTATTACCCTATTTTTACCATCAAGCAGTAATGTGAGCAACGTTGCTCCTACCATTTCGAAATATGTTAGTAAAATAATGGATTGTTAATAGACATATAAATAAAAAACTAGTTTAAGTTGAATTTCTCGCTTTTCGGTTCCCCGAAAAAACGAACCTCATGGGTATGGTGAAGTCGCTATATTCTTTGTGAAAATTCTCTTTGCGTTCAATTTTGTTCCATACCTTCTTTCAGCGATGCGATTTCCGGACTGCTTTAAATTCCTTCAGACCAGACAAGGTGGAGCTGTGACATAGTAAAGGTTGTGGGAATCCGCAGTTGTTACGGCGGTTTTTGGGGTAGGCCGACTCTTTCGGCAGAAATAATGATATAAAAATAGAAATGTAACTTACAACACTAGTTCTTATGCTAGAAGTTTAAGCTTATTAAAAATAAAATAAAATGTTGCCATCTTGTTTTTTGTTGCATCAATTTACTTTATTTTTATACAATATATTTAGTTTATAATTTGGGCAATATAATTAAATAATTTTTGACCGACTTTAAAAAAGGAGGAGGTTCTCAATTCTGCTGTATTTGTTGTGTATGTTACGCAATTACTCCTACATTTGTGAACCGATTTCGATGATTCTTTTTTTTGTTGGAAAGGGAATAATACCTCAGTAGTGGTCCTATTCAGATTTGAAGAAAATATTCTTCCTCTGAAGGTGGCAAATTAGAGTATGAATCCGGTTTCGCGCACTTTCCGGTACCCGATATATAGATAGAATGTATTAATTATTATAACAAACTAGTGGAGTATTTTCATCAAAAATAATTGAATATCATGATAGTCGTAAAACAAGCGTGATAATTCAAGAAACTTATATTATATACATTAATGTTTTTTGTATGTTTGTCTCATAAGAGTTCCATTATTATTCATCCTATTGCGATAAAACTTTCGTGAGTCATTTTACTCACCCTGCAAAAGTTTCTGAAATATTATGACCATTTTATAATATAGGTCTGCCAGTAAAATTAAAAGAATTTAAGTTGGCAGTGCCATTGCGACTACATTGGTCCAGCTAGTTATTAAAAAATACTTGAGGTCGAATAGTAATGGAAAACTTTCTATTTTGGTTTATATTCTATTTTATATTAAATGGGCACATGTTTATTTTATATTTTTTTATTTTATTTTATTCGTAATAACAACAGCTTAATAAATAACGATTTATAATGAATAGGTTTTGGTTAAGCTAGCTAGCGCCGATTACAGTTGTCCATATTCTCAAAAATATTGTAAAAATTAACACATCAAAAAGAAAAAATACACATAAAAAATACCTAAATTATGAAGCATAGCAAAAAGAGCAAAGCGATGTGAAGTGTGCAAATCTTGACTTACACAATAGCGTGCATTAAAATAATAATGTTAATAAAAAAATACTATAATCTAAATATAAAATAATATCACATAAAGCCATTGAGGTCAGGATGTCATCAATCAGGCATTTTTTATGATATCAATTGACGGGACGAACAAGTTGTGCGCCTGATGGTAAGCTACATGCCTGTCCATAACAGTTGCAGTGCACTCAAAGTTTTAAATCGCAAAAATCTGAGGGGCACTGCCACTGCGGCCCGTCTTCCTGAGACATAAATTGACGAGTCCTATGTGCCTGTAATTTCACTAGCACCCTTACCGTTCTAAACCGAAACACAGTAATGCTAATATTACTGCTTGGCGGCAGAAATAGGTAAGGTATAGGACAGTACTACCCTAGAGGAACTCTTTCACGAGGAGCTCTACTGCTGCTAAAATGCTATTTTATTTATGAAACTTGTTATGTTCCTAATTTGTGGAATATGATTTACTTATTACGTCATCCGTAAGCTTATCGTGTACGATGCTTCCGCGCAACTTTGATGCCTTGTTCATTTGCATATAAGTTTTCACTTCGCTCTCGTTGATTTGGTTTGCTCGATTTCTAACAACGCCTTATTCGAACCATCACCTTACATAGCCGAATAAAGAAAACATTCACATTTTGATTACAAAAGGTGTCACAAATAAGGACATCAGATATTCGTTTCACAGATATTAGCTTGTAGCGTTGTCTTAGGTTTTTTGTTGTATTGTTATTGTTGCTTCTATTCTTTGAAGGAATCGTCACTGCAATTTAATAAACAAAAGCCAGTCACAGGCTCTGTGTTGCTCTTTTGTATAAGAAAAGCTAAAGAATAATTTATTTATTTTATTATTAATTAGATTTCAATTTTATCTTTTTAAATTTTATGAATTTAGTAGCAGACTTTTCTTGGGGCGCACGATAAGTTTCCGGAATGAATAAGAAAAAAATATTATAAATGGTCAGAAATGAATTTAATGTTTCTCAAAATATAATATAAATTATTATGTTATATTTTGTTAATTATAAATTTAAATTCTCCGTTAGCGTTAATGCACTTTTTCATACGAATGAACCAATTTTAATTATTTATTTTAGGAATTTTTACAACTATACGTTAAAGATGGTGTATAAAACTAAACAATATAAAAAAAAAGCCTATTACAAACCTCCAATTTTGAGAACATTTATGCCACTCCTCCGTGACAATCTCTGAAACATATTTTTCATATTCTTCTACAGCATCTTCAGGTCATGAAAATCGTTGGTTCTTAATTTATGGAAATAAATAAAAGTCAAAAGGTGCCAGGTCGAGACTATATGCGGGATGGCTCATAAGGTCAAAGTTGTTCACCTTCAAAAATTCATTTGTCTATTTGACAATGTGAGAACTGGCATTGTCGTGGTGCAAGATGATACAGCGTTTAAGGCTATTTTTACGGAGTTTGTCAATAACTTCCGGCAAACAAATGGTCGTGTACCAATCACTATTCACGGTACAACGATTCTCCAAAGCAACAGTAGCCACGTGTCAAGTTTTATTAAAAAAAGAAGCAATCATCCGCTTAGAGGCACTTTACACTCGCGCCACTTTGGTTAGTTCTGGGCTCATCTCGAAAGACCCATACGCTCGGTTGCTGCTTTGTTTTGGGTTCGTAACTATAGATCCATATTTCGTCACCTGTTATTGTGTTCCACACCAATTTTGACGCCCCTTCGTTGAATCTGGTAAGCATGGCATTGCACCAAGTGACGCGATCCGTTTTTTGAGCTTCAGTCAAGTTGTGTGGGATCCACCGAGAACATAGCTTTTTCACACTCAAAAGTTTATGTAGTATTGATTCTATTTGACTCATGCCTATGCCTAAAGATGCCTGAATCTTATGATATGTCACATGCCTGTCTGTTTTGATCATACAGCGCATAGCATCAATGTTTTTGTTGTTCACAGCAGTGGACGGGCGACTATCACGAAATTCGTCACTGAGATTCACATGACCGCGTTTGAATTCTGCAAATCAGCTATAAATAGTCGTCTTGCATGGTGCTTCATTGCCAAAAACAGTTTGGAGCCGAGCTAAGTTCCGCTGAGCTGTTCAATTAAACTTAAAGTCGTAGAAAATCATACTACGAAACGAGTTAAATCCATGGTGACGTAGACAACCAATTTCTAAAATGACGCCACATTGTAAAAACAAGTGACAGTCAGATGAAACAAACTGTATTCTACAGCCAAAGAGTTCCATATTGAAATGTTCTAATTACTTTTTAAATATTGTTTATGTAAGTGGCTAGTTCCGGAAACTTATAGTGTGCCCTATGTACTATGATTTTTAGCAATAATAGAAACTAACTAAAACTTAAAACGATAAACTGTTTATTTCTTTACATGTGTAAGTTAATTAAAAACACCAAAATAGAGATAATACCAAAGTTGAAATAATAGTTATATTTTTGAAAATAAATATTTGATTTATATTTTTTATGTCAATTAATATTAAGATTCATGAATATTATAACTCTACCATTTTCGCATTGGAAAAGGTTACTTCATGCTCAATTCAAGTAATTTTAAACCAATTTTTAATATACTACTGTATGTCTGTTTCTTTGGTTAATTTGAAAGCTTAAACGGACTTAAACGGACTTTCATTTGCGAATACTTTTATGTTTGTTTTGATCCCCCAAATCTTTACGTTTTGTATACATTTGTTTAGTATTTTGTATGTACTGTAGCATAATAGGGTCCAGAGCTACACTGGACTGAGGCTGGGCCACAAATCAGACATAAAATTTTACATTTACTGAGTAAGAGTTTATGGTGAACTAAAATAAGAAAAGCTATAAGTCACACATCACATATAAAAAGGAAAACAAAAGTATACTACTACAGGAATTAGAAAATGTACAAGCTACATATATAAAGAAGGGAACACAAAGGGTACGCAACTACACTTTTATGGTTCCGTAACGCTGCTATATTAAAATAGTCGGATAGACTGATTAAAGGAATTAACAATAATAATAATTTAACGTAAAACAGCAATTTAGTCACAATACGGCTTCACAATATTAATTGTCCAGCAAACAGAAGGACTATGATCTAATGGTGTGGATCCTCAGCACAGGAAACTTGGTACTTGTAAATGTATCCAGAAATACTTTAGGTCTTTGGGTAGTCGTTACATTTCGTATGTTGTAGACGCCACTTCCGGTAGTTAGGTAGTATATAGAAAATTGCGAGCGGATATCAAGAATGAATTGATGAATATATATATATGTATCTATAGTTCACACCAACTGAAAAAATTACACAAAGCACACCGACAAATAGTACATTAGAAGTTAACTTTTTCGTACACTTCTAATTGCAATATGTGGATTTGTTCATATTTTTGCCAAGAAAATACCACTCGTCAGTATCTTGTCAAAATAAAACACACCCCAAAAACAAACCTTCTTACAAAAAGAAGCATTAGCATTTTTAAATTTCATTATGTGCCCTACTAAGCCACAAAAAGGTTCCAAACCAAACAGACTAAGAAAAAAGATGTCCATGCCGCGTGTTATGCTGCAGTACCTTAGAGGATAGAAAAACAATTTCCATAGTCTAAGTGCAGTACCCAAAAAATTCATGTGGCAGATGCTAGGAGGATTTTATATAACGTCATTATTTTAAGTCTTGAAACATCCAATGTTTAGGTATGTAATTATATATTTTTTTGTAGTATAAAGTAACGAGACGAACATGTCATGCACCTGATGGTAGGCGACACCCCCGTCCGAAACAGTTGCAGTGCCACTCAGAGCTCGTAAAGATCCACGAAATCGTCAAGATCTGAAGGGCACTGCCACTGCGTCCGAGACATAAGTTGAAAAATCTTATGTCGTCTTAAGTCGTGTCTGTAATTTCACCAGCACCTTAACTCTTTAATACCGGAACGCAGTAATGTTCGCATTACTGCTTAGTTGCAGAAATGTGTAAGATGGCAGGACTTCCCTGGACGAACTCTTTCACAAGGAGCTCTACTGCTGCTAAAAGCTGTCTTAACGAGATGATTCTAAAATAATCTGCATATATTTAATTTCAATATAAAAAAAACTATTTTGATCCACAGAGACCTTGACAAGTCGTTTTCTTTATTCTTTTATTAATAAGTTGCTTTCTCTATTCATTTATTAATAAAATATCTGAAAAAAACAAAAACAAATGAACAATCGACTGCGTCAAAAACTTTCTGTTAAAACCTTTGCCTACCCAAGTAACTGGGTGCAGAAACGAGAGAAAGAAACTTTAGAGTTCTGTTCGAGCAATGTTCAACGCACCACGTAATTTTCTTGTCCGATACCAAATTAAGTTAAATCTAAAGCAAATAACCAATTAAATAGCTTATCTTATTAAAATTTAAATCTTGAAACTTGTTAGACGTTCTTTTTCTCTTTTCACTCGGATTTTTTTGGTAATAATGTATTTGTAGTTAGGTATCGTTCAGATTCACCCCAAGTGCAGGGCAGCTTACTAGTTACTAGTTTTGGAGCATATGGTACGGAACTTTAGGGAGTGATTCCTTTTTTTGGAAATATTTGTTCTGGCAGGACGCGTGTGGCGCTCTAAGAATGGTGTAAAAAGTAGGAAGTGTAAATAAATACAGACAGGCAGCTCTATTTGCGGCAGCGACAGGCGTCTGGGCGCGTGCGCGGCGTGGCGCGCTGTAGACATAGAGCAGACGTCACGGTAAATGCTTGCAGATAGGACACTCATGATCACGATGAACCACTCTCCAGATTAGTAAGGAGCTATAATATTTCTTAACACTGAAACTTATTTTATGTGCATGTGAATGGATATTTCTTTGAAACAACGTTTAAATAGGCCAGAGGCCGCACATATGTTTGACAGCACAGGTTAATTTTTGACTCTACTACTTGCCCTTGTCGCGTGTCTGCGACATGCTGCCCATCCTGAAGTGCATTTTGCCATCTACTATCAATAAATAGGTTTAGGTTGCACTGCTTCTTACAAAATTTTCTTCCCATAAAGCATCTAAACCCTGTTATAGCAGATATATTTATTATTAATGCCTTTTTTCTCCAATCATACGTTCACGACTATTGTTTTAAGGATTACTTATCATTTAACTTAGGCATGGAGGCAATATTTTATATCAACAGGGGTATCAAGTTCGATGTGATAGTTTGGGTGCAGGGTTATCATCTGGAGTGGAGACTTGAATGAATGAGCGGGAGGAGGACATTGTGTCCGGGAGAGTGTAGAGCGGGCGGTAATGTCGACGGGCGCGCGGGGCTGGCGGTGGGGCGGGCCGTCGTCGGGCGCCGCAGTCCGCGCGAGGAGCCGCTGTCGGCGTGTTGTCTATTGTTAGTATCCGTGTACCGCATCGAGTCTCGCGATCGTAGCCTTTGTTTATTCTTTCAAGCGAGCCCATTACAGCTGTTCAGTAACGCGTTGTTGCACCCTAGATTAGTGTTATTCAGTGTCAGCATTGTTATCAGTGGGAGATCCGCAGTGAGTGAATGCTTTGTGTAATCAGCTGAGCGTGGATGAAGCACCCCAGGTGCAGGTGAAGTGGTTGGTGTGGTGCGCGCGCCTCCGCTACAGCGGAGAGCGGCTCAGCTATGGCGGCGACGGCCCGCCGCGAAATTGATACCGGCGAAGAGGATATTGCTGCTATTGCCAAACAAATTTCCGACCATGCTGAGGCCATCTATCAGACTTGGAAAGCGCGGGGCCTTGCGCCAACTGAGATCCTGTCATGTAGGCCGACACCGGGTCTCAAGCTGGCCGAGAGTCTTAGAACGAAGCCACGACCCGAACCTAAACCTGAGTTAAAGCAGCGACCCGATATTAGGCGAGAACAGCGCCCTGAGCTAGCACGAGAGCCAAGACCAGATGCTCGTCGAGAACAGAGGCCCGAACCACGTCGTGAAACTCGGTCAGAGCCTGGAGAAACGGTAGAAGTAATGTTACCGCCGGATTTAGTCCCGGAGCGGAATGGCAATGCAGGTGCTGGAGCCGGCGGTCGGCGAGCTGACCCTGCAGCAATGCGATTGGAGGTCGCTCGCGAGGAAGAACGCTTATTACGAGCATTGCGCACTGGCGGTGTGGTGGCTGAGCGCACAGCAGAGCGGCCTGATGTTGTGCCGCCAGTATCTCTTGTGGACTACGCTAAGAGCCGTTACCAGGATCGTTTAGATACTGGTGCTAGAAAGCCCGCAGCCGGAGCGACTAGCGAAAGACGAGCTTCACTAGGTTCACATGTAACTGAGGCTAGATCAAAATTTGAAGCACGGGCTCGTCGGGCTTCTAGCGCTGGTGCCGGTGAGCTCGCAGCAGCCGGTTCGACACCGGTGCGCCCTTTTCTTACGCGTGGCTCTGTGGCCGAGCGTGTGTTAATGTTTGAACGGTGTCCAAGCGAAGCTACTTTAGAGCTCGCTAAGAGGAAAACACCTGCGGCTACAACATGGCGAGGACCACACGATGTCATCAATAGGGCGCAGGTGAGTTTTCTTAGATAACATTTTTAAAGCTATTATTCAAATTTAATTCAATTCTTTTATTTCGAAACTTTAACCACATTGGACGTGTACGTACGATGTACCGCAGGCTTATAAAGTAAATGATTTTAAGACAGAAGTCGTCACAACAATAATGCGAGTTCTGTGAGTTATGTAAAAAATAATTACCAAGCATAATTTGTTACCGCGTCACAGCAGCGGCGGTATTCGTCTCTTGAGCAGCAACAGTGGCAGCGACGAGTAACGTTTGAGATGCGAACAATAAGCGGATTGCATGTTATTCAAATGGGTGTACCACACAGTGACATCAGCTGTAGATAGATATACATAAGCGCTACGCACTGTTCGACGATTGGACACACTCCGAACAACTCAACTACATAGTTATTTTGCAATCATCTTTCACTAACCAAACTCTTTAGCAGCACGCAAAGGCTCTTACACATTTTTCATTTTAATAAGGGTTAGAACCTGTGTCAATTATACACCTAGGTAATTAGAGATGGTCTTCATAGTAACATGGAAAGGTACTCACTAGCATAGCACTATTAGCGGCGTGCAGCGAATGAGTCCAATGAACCAACCGGTGGCGGTGGACTATACAATCGCTGCGAGTGCTGAGTGAGACCGGCGGGAGTAGCCGCACTACGACCTGCACCGACAACGTGCGCGGCCCACTGCATTTTTGTCAGGCTGCCAATATTGTGTTGCTCCTCGCTCTCTACTGGTGATATGCGATGCAAACTTTATACATACATTATGTTTCGGGAATGTACAACAAACGTGAGGCACATTTTTTTTTTATAAACAACGTCTGTATTTAATTAAGATAATATACAGGTAAGGTAAAGGTAAGGCACATTTGATTTGATCGTTATTATGTGAATCGAAATACGTTATATCACAATGCTCCAAAGTAATTAATATGTACAGAATTAAATGTGTTCAAAGCAGTCACTATTTGGTTTATTCTGTTAAATCAGTGGTTGCGGTTGCGGTTTTTCCAAACAAATTAACTGCGAGTGAAACATACTCGTGAGTATGGTGGTTTCTTATTTAGTTTTATATTTTTAGTTCTTATACTCCTGTACTGATGACATAAAATTTTAGATCACGCGTAACACCATAAACTTGAAAAACCAGGTTTATTCGATGATCTCAAAAGCAAAGTGAGAGTCAAAGTCAAATAATCATTTATTCCGTAGGTAAAGTTTTCACACTTCAAAACGTCATTTTTAAGCTACTGCTAGTTCACTACGCTGACCTCCATGAGAAGAACGAGCAAGGGACTCTAGGGATTGCTCTTTTCAAATAAATTTAAATGCTATAGAATAACATTGAGAATCATATTTGTGTGGAATCTAGACGCACGTTGTCTTTCCACACATCTTTATCTAACACGTAGTCTACAATTTGGGCGACGACAACGACGGCAAATGTCATTTGCTATGAAATTGCGTGTCGCTAAACGATTTCATTGCGACTGCCGATAAAAATGCCTTCTGAACTGAAAAGTAGATGAACTCTACTTTTCAGTTCAGAAGGATAGAATATTGTGATTATAATGTCGATTATACTTGTTACTTTTCCGTATTAGTTATGGACACATAGTAGTCTCCATGGTTCCATCCACTTTCTTGATAGAGATTCAGCAAAACTTACCATAGAATTTATCTAATACTCTCTACTAATTTGAAATGTGGTATGGTATATGTAACACATTTTCATGTAACAGTAATTCTCACGCACTACGAATCGCAAACAGTGACAAGCAGGATACGATTTCCAGGCATTCGGGTCACGCTCCAACCAGGTGTCTGTTGTCATGTGTAGGTACTATATTGGTATATTGTTATTATTGTACGTGATTGAAAAATTGTCGTTGAAAATATTTTAAACGAGCACATTTGTATTCAGAAACAGGCGTGCCTCAAATGCATCATTATTTTCTAACGGAAGGAGATTGTTCACCTCACCGAACATACCTATAAAAAATAGTGTTCCAAATTTAAACTCGGAACGGCGGGAATCGCTTGGCTAACGCCCAGCAGTACCCGATTATACTCGACTAACCCCGAATACATTCGGCTTGCTCCGCCGCGTAGTCATGATTGTAACGCGTGGACCATGTCTTGTTCAGTTTCGTTTGTGTCATTTTTGTGATTGGTTTTTAAAATATCATCGGGTTTTGATCAGAATTGCTTCAAATCCCAAAAACCAGTTTTAGAAATCATATTTTTGAGATACTAGTAGTATTCTTATCGCTTTTGGTAACAGGAAACCCCACTTATAAACTCACCTACATATCGACTGAGGAAATAATCGGTAAATTGTACGGAAGTGTGTGTCTGCTAATTTTTGAGAAATCATACACCACAGACAGTAATTGGAATGTTATGTAACGATTAATAGTTGCTATAAAATTGAGAATAACGCCCACGCATGCCATGCACGTAAAATTATTACAATTGTGTCATGCAAAATTACGAGACACTGAAATTGGTCCACTGACATTTCCATTGAAATTTTTCTTTCACCGAAAATGTCAGCTACTCGACACAAGACAGTGTGCAATGTAAATTAAGCAACGTCTTACAAAATATTTTTTTAAATTTAAGCGCCGCTTACTGACAATAAAGGGTCGTCTATTATGAGAGCGAACAAGAAATATATATCTTGCTCGGGGTCACAACGGAAACTTTGAGATGTATAAATATTGTCATGTCAAGTAAGTGGGTCGTCGTAAATCTAAGAACAAACTGAAATAACAATCATTTCCGAAAGAATGACGATAAGTTAAAACTTGTCCAAAGCGATAGCTTCGCAGTAAAAGTTGATTGGAAGTTGTTAGACAGGACTCAAGGTCGATAGGGCAGTCGCGTGGTAGCACGCAAGACCCGCTGCTCGCCGGAAACGATAATGTTGAGTACATGTTGCTCAACAAATTCTAAGTTTTCTCTGAGAATGCGGCGTAGGCCTAGCGGCTTACAGAACTCTATATAGCTTTATGCATGCGTGTTCACAGGTGACAACGTAATAGACAGCCTAGAACCCTTGACTTGTCATATTTAGTCAGATTTCTTCCTATTGAAAATGTATATTGTACTTATTGCTTTAAGAATGGGAGAATAATAAGTTGCGTACTAAAAACTTATACACGATGCTTTATTTCGGCGGCCACTACCTCTTTGTATCTCTGATGCGAGTCTTTAAAAATTTACATAAGATATGTTAATGATATTAGGCGTCATGGAGTGATAACTAACATTAGAGAGTGAGTGAAAGCGTAATTTGTGCTTCTAAACCTGATGGAGAGATAACATCGGCGGATCTTTTACATGTTACGTGTATACCTTGTTATGATTGTTATCGGTTGTTTGTAGCAGGTTTGTTGGCTGCTGACTCAGAGACAGTGGACAAATTAGATAAGGCCTAGTTAATTGAACTTTCTTTTTGAATGAATGTAGTATTTAGAATTACCCTTCTTCTGAAGGGAGACTGGATTGGACAACGTATTAATTTTTAGTTCGGTCTTTAAATGCTTGTTGTGTTTAATTAATTTTGTATAACTTCATTCAGATACCTTTAAGTAGAGTAAAATAATTGTTACATTACTCAGCTGTCCTGCTTGTATAAAGTATTTCAAGCAAATAATTTGATAAAACAAAGTTTTGCTATAAACGATAGGCACATATGAAACAACTAGAGAACGACGAACAATTCAGGTGGTTAGAGCAATCGGCGAACCGTGTCAGGGTCGCGTGGTACAAATCATATGTACTGCATTAGGAGTGCCGCTCGCGCTGTCACTGCATTCATCTACTTAGTTACCTCTACAGCCGCAATGTAATAACTAATCCACGGAAGAAGAAAAAACAATGGAAAGGCCTTAAGCCTCGAATACTATCAGAACTGCTGCCACCAAAACTCAATGAAGTATTTCATAACTACTGGCACACGTGTCAAGCCCACTAAGCACTTTTACTGTATTTATTGTTCTGTGACCAAACCAGTGATATAATATCCAATTTTAGAACATTTCCTTGTGCAGGACAAAAATCACAATGAGGGAAATAACATGAAAGAGCCCTCATGTATTTCGGGAATATCTGCCCACACTTGCCAGAAGACCGTCTTGCCCTTCTGCCACTCCATCGCTGTCGGTAGGTGACGTAGTTGTAATAGCCGACTCGAATTTGCCCAGGGGAGTTTGGCTCATTGGCCGTATTATTAAAACATTCCCCGGGCAGGATAGTATCTAAGAGTAGTAGAAGTCGCCACCGAACGGTGGCAGTTTAAAGACGGGTTCTCTCTTCGCTGAAAGATTCCTATCTAACATTTTTTCAGTAACTGCGCGATTTGATCTAACAATTAATTTAATTTATAACTTTCCTTACTTGTGGTTCGATTAGAACGATCATTTCTTTTCTAACTTTTATACAGTTAGACAACTGTAACTACAAGATTCTTATGAGTGCTAAGTGATTATTAATTTAAAAATAATTAATTATTTAATTAACTAATTAATTTAATTAAAATACCATTACCTACTCTTCATAGCTATCAGATAATATATTTTTAATTTACCATTATTGACATAATTTTGGACCTTATCACGAATGCGACGATTCCACTTCAACCTCAATCTACTATGTATATTGACCGATATCATACATATTATAACTTTATCGGTCACTGCATGCCTCTGCGCACTAAATAGATTAAAAGCTCTAACGCTTTCACTTTCTCACGTTCGTTTGTTCCATGATAGAATTGCGCAACTTATTAACGTCGGAAGTTCTGACTCTTGATGAAATTGGTGTCAGTGTTGGAATCCGCTTGTGAATATGTCTGTGCCTTATTATTCCTTTTATATTTGAAACAATGTAAATTTAAGAATTAGATAGCATTGATGAATTACAGCAGTTGACTAGTTGACGAAAATAACGCATTAAGGAAAATGACGAGGTTTCCCTAATTCC